AAGTGTACCTCTGGTGCAAATTACTGACCTCTGTCATCATTTTAGGTGGGGGAACTTGCACAATCGGTGGCTGACTAAATACTTTTTTGCCCCACTGTACATCTCAACAGATGAGCTGTTACTTAGAGAGTTCAGGGTCTTATGGTGGAAAAGTTTGTAATTATGCGAGCTGCTCTGGATAAATCCTCTGCTCCATCTGAGTCTCAGTCCACAGAACCTCACAGTATTCCCAGCAAACAGATGACTTCACCTTATAGAAACCTTTTAGAACTATTAATTTATCTTAACTGGTATGTTTTTTTTCAGTAGGTAAGTTTCTACCACAAACTTTGTCTTTATTAGCTTTATGACGTAGTCCCAAGGGAACAACAGAATTTCAACCACTTAAGCTGTAAATAATTTATTTCCTCTAAATAAATAAAATAAAGTAATGATAATAACGCTAATAACAGCAGCCATGTGCAGTCCTCTGGAACACAACTCTGTTTGCATTATTACAGGGGTGGTTGTAGCTTAGGTGGTAGAGCAAGAGCAGGTCATCTAACCGGAACGTTAGTGTTTTGATCCCAGTCTGCATGCCAAATATTCCTGGCCAAGATACTAACCCCATGTTGCTCGTATGCTTTAGACAAAAGGCGCATAGAAACAGCATATAAAAAAGTGCTTGGGTGAATGAGGTTGTGTAGTGCTCAGACTAGAAAAACGTCTGACGAACCTAATTTCTTTTTGCCAGTAAGAACTGAAGCGCTAATGTCAGGTGCACCTACACTCTAGCGCCTCATGAGGGCAGCATTTCGTCTTTGCGAACGTATTCGTGACGTCATCCCGTGTAACTTCCTGTAATCTCGGGTCCGTTCCTCAAATCGTCCGCTGTTGTGGTTCAGAAGGCCAAGTACCGCCGTGTCGGTCATTTCAAAAACCTTAAAGGTAGAGAAACAATTTCCAAGTTGTTTTATGACAGTGAATTGTTGACTTGGCGTCATGCTCGGTTAATATAAGATGGGATATAGATACAGCAATTTAGCTAAAAGGAAATGTGCAAAAGTCCTTGACAATGTGCGCTATAAATCGGCTGCTATTCAGTGCTAGCTTAGTTTAAGAAACAGGTGAGCTTAGCAAGAATCGCTTACGTTCCGTTTGGAAGGCAAACCTAAACTCTGCTAGTATTTATTGTGTATTAAATGATGGGAAGTTGGTTGTCAATTTGTCATGACGTGTGTGTTTTAGTAGTCACTGTCACTATCGCGTTCTGCCGAAGTACTTTTATTTCCAAATGTTGGTATTGTTATGTAATCTAGAAAGGATATGTTGCATTGTACATTACATCTAATATTAGAAAGTAACAATACAGGATTAATAAACGTTTGCATGCATATTGTTTCATATGGCATAACTTACCTGTGCCCCCCCATAAAAAAATAAAAATGAACTTTAATCTGTTAATGTTATCCACGTTGTGTTCTCTTTCAACTATTACACCTTAATGCATAAACTTTGATGTCTGGTTTCAGATTTAGGACGTGATGGCTGCAACACTGCGTGTACTTTACTCTGCATCAAGGCCAGGTATGACGGCCTTACATTCTTATTCACTCAACAGTTCAGAGAGCCTTGTTGCCACATATCCTTTCTTACTTCTCACCCCTGTCATGCATTTATGTATACCAGGGGTCCCCAACTCCAGGCCTCGAGGGCCGGTGTCCGCGATCCAACACAGCTGATTCAAATGGCTAAATTACCTCCTCAACATGTCTTGCCGTTCTCCAGAGGCCTGATAATGAACTAATCATTTGATTCAGGTGTGTAGACCCAGAGTGAAATCTAAAACCTGCGGGACACCGGCCCTCGAGGCCTGGAGTTGGGGACCCCTGATGTATACAGATGTTGGTAAAGTTGCAGCCTAGCCCTAGCACAGAATGAGAGTGAGCATTATCACGTTAAATGCTTTTTTAAGCTTTAGAAGTAGCAGGTAATGTCAAACACCTCAATAAGGAAACTGTAGTTTTGAAGTTTAACTCTAACACAATATTTCTGCTACCTAAAGGTAACGTTTCTGTTTTTACAAGGAAGTTATTGTGTGATAAAATCATTCTTACAAGTAGAGAGAGCCGTTGCCGCACAGCAAGAAGGTCCTGAGTTCAATTCCACCATCAGGCCGGGGTCTTTCTGTGTGGAGTTTGCATGTTCTCCCCGTGTTTGCGTGGGTTCCCTCCGGGTACTCCGGCTTCCTCCCACCGTCCAAAGACATGCAGCTTGTGGGGATAGGTTAATTGAATAATCCAAATTGTCACTAGGTGTGAATGAATGTGAGTGCGAATGTCTCTGTGTGTTGGCCCTGTGACAGACTGGCGACCTGTCCAGGGTGTACCCCGTCTCTCGCCCTATGACAGCTGGGATAGGCTCCAGCGCCCTCCGCGACCCTGAAAAGGATAAGCGGAAGCGGATGGATGGATGGAAGTAGAGAGAGATGTAAGAAAGAGGTGACAGGAGAGGAAACATTATTCTGTTGCTGATGTCATCTGGGTATTTACCATAAAGAGATGTCTTGAAAAGCAAAGTGATTTATAAACATTTCATTATTCAAAATCAGTGTTGTATGACAACAATAGGCTGTTCACTTTATTGGAATCTAGACTAAGTTGGTTTGTTTGTAGTCTTGTTGTATTATTTAATGTAGGGCTGCTCAATTAATCGAATTTTAATCACGATTACGATCTGGGCTTTCAACGATCATTAAAAATGACTGAGCCGATTATTAGCCCCTCCCTCATTTATCCGCGACACCTTAAAGGCCGGTCCGTGAAAATATTGTCGGGCATAAACCGGTCCATGGCGCAAAAAAGGTTGGAGACCGCTGATTAAGAGGACCCGAGGGAAGCTCGGAAAGCTAAGCAGAAGTTATTTGGAGAGTGACTGCCGTTGGTTGAAAAGAGAGTTTTAAAAAAAAAAAAACTTCAGTGGTGTTGCACACTATTTTATATTATTTTTTTAAAGTCATTGTTAACCCTTTAAAGCCGGTCAGAGCAGCACGCTCCGTTTTGCGTAACTATTTTTAAATCCCTGTAGAACCTGAACCGTGTAAGCTAGCACAATAATTTGTTTTGCATATGAAACCGGAGGAGTTGTACTTACATCTGATGCCATCAGCTTGTCCTCGGTCACGGTTTCGTTCCACATATAGCTTTGCAAAAATTGCATAAAAAGCGCTTGCAGGAACAAAAACATAATATTCCAGAAACACGCTTTGCCGTTCCTATCAGCTGTTCGTAACACTTCCCACAGTGAAATGATGCACATGCTGTTTTCTTTGCAAATTTGCATCATAGGATTGTTTTTTGTTTTTCCTGCAGTATATAAAAATTGCTGTATCTCCAAAATAAAACTATGAAGACACTCAAAATAAATTTCCTGTTGTTGTAAACTATTTTTTGCAACTTTATTGTATTTAAAGTTTTGAGGGATAAACCTCTTAAATTTCTCCAAGTAGAAATATATGTAAACAAAACAGAAGCGATTTTCAATTTTTTTGTAGTTTATTGCACTTTTTTGCAATTTATGTAATTACTATGGACTTAATGCATACATATTATTAAAATATGGGCTATAACAGTTGTATTGATGTATAGCAACTTGAAATGCTCCCACAAATGGCACTATAGCATGTAAAAAAAATAATATAAGCTCTGGTGGACTTGGTTCTATAGTAGGTCTTAAAGGGTTAAATAAATATCGTCAAATAATCGTGATCTCAATTTCAGTGAAAATAATCGTGATTATCATTTTTGCCATAATCGAGCAGCCCTAATTTAATGTAAGGGATTATATTTGACTGGTGCAGATTAGGCTGTGATATCCATAACTATTGCTAGGTTCAGTGAAGAGACAATAAAAGCTAGTTAGTTGTTTAATGCTGATATTTAAAGCAAACAGTACAAGCTTAAAGTGCTTTTAGTGCTCAGTAGTAAGGCAAGAATAGAAAACGGCAATATAATTAGCAATTCATTTACCATCACAAGAGTTTTAAATTTTTCTGGACAGAAGCTAAAAGTGAGAAAGATTTATACTCTGTGTTGATGGAAAATTCTATTGTATTACTCCACTCTAGACTGCTTCATGTAGTGTCAAGTTGACTGCATTGTAGTAGGTTTACTGTTTATCTTTTCTGAAATGTTTTTACCTTCAGGTTTTTTTGTGGCCAGCCAGAATCTAGCAAGGTCCTTCAGTGTGTCGGCACAAAGGGACGGATTCAGTAAGTGCTGCTACAACACAACTCAATTCAAGGGCTTTCAGAGGCTGTACCACGATATTTTCATTCACACATGGACTTCAGACAGTTTTAGAATTTAGTTCAGGATGTTTTCCTTAGTTGGGCTTTCCTCACATTCTTACATCCTGAAGAAGGATGTACTCAGCTTCACTTGATGAAAAAACAAAAAAGATTTATGAATTACACTGATATTTTACAGTTTACACTCATGTAAATTGGGCGTATTACCATTATTTTGTTTTGGCTGTGTGTGTGTGTGTGTGTGTGTGTGTGTGTGTTCCTTTCTTTGTCTACATAAGAGTATGTGAATGCTCAGGAGATCCCTGTCGACATGAAGTCCATCACAGATAGAGCAGCACAAACACTGCTATGGACAGAGCTCTTCAGAGGTCAGTTGAATGTTTCTCTGTCCTGTACGAATAATTGGATCTTTGTGTTTTCCTTTACCAGTGGAAGTAGTTGGGGTACTGTCACTTCATGGAAAATGTTCTTTGTATTTGTTATCTTACAGATGAGGGTAACATTAGTCCCCCCATGATATTTTAACGTTTTTGTGCCAGTAGGTTGATTCTGTGCATCTGGATGTTACATTTCAATGGTAAATGGTTTGAAATAAAACCTCAAGCAGTTAGCAGCAAAACTGGGTCTGGAACGTCAATTTATCTTCCAACACGTCACGACCACCAACACCTATGCCCTGCCCATGATCAGGTACCCTGCTGGGATAATAAGCTGGCCAAAGGAGGAGATGCAAACTGGACCGAAAGACAGCACAGTGTAAAGATGCCCCTGAGACAATCCAGCACATAAGTAGGGTGCAAGATGCTGGCAGGCATGGCACACTTTGAACGCCATAACCAAGTGGCCGGCATAGTGTGCCAAGTATGACCTGGAAGTCCCGAGGTCAAAATGGTGGTCCTGTAGGACTTCCAGATACAAACAGATAAACTGGTGATAGCTAACCAACCGGACGTAGTAGTGGTAGGGAAGCAGAGGAAGACAGCCGTACTGATAGATGTAGTGATACTAAATGACAGCAAATCAGAAGCTGGACAAATACCAAGGGCTCAGAAAAGAGCTCGAGAAGATGTGGAGGGTGAAGGTAACAGTGGTCCCAGTGGTAACTGGAGCACTCGGTGCAATGACCCCCAAACTAGGCGAGTTTCTCCAGCAGATCCCTGGAACAACATCTGAAATCTCTGTCCAGAAGAGCGCCGTCCTAGGAACAGCAAGGGTGCATGACCTTCAAGTTCCAAGGCCTCTGTCAGGGGACCTGAGCTTGAGAGATAAAAGATGGGGAATTTTTTTTTTGATAGATGGGGAATTTTTTTTGATACAGATGCATAAAATTTTCATGGAGGTGTTAATAATTGTAAGCGTTCTCATTTGAAAATGTGGTTTTATTGTAATGCCAGGTCTAGGCATGACAATGAGCTACCTGTTCAGAGAGCCTGCCACCATTAACTACCCGTTTGAAAAAGGACCACTGTCGCCACGCTTCAGAGGAGAACATGCGTTGCGCAGGTGAGGATGATTATTTGACAAACACCAGTCAGTGTAATATGATTGGTAGCAATGATAAGATGTCAGAATAATAAATTTGATAGTCATTGATTGGTGCTTTGATATATATATATATATATATATATATACACACACACACAATACAGTGTGTTTGTGTCTGTTTAACAAATCGACCAGTAACTTCTTATATAAGGAGGATCATATGCAATGCAAGAAAAACATTGTAACTTTTTAGATTTAACTTTTTTTCTAAACTATTAACATCTTTGAATAGTATCTGAAAACACCTCCACACATCTGAGATTTTATAGGAGGCTCTGAGATAACACTGTATTAGTAATCAAACCTCACCAAGTTTTTGGAATGTGTCAAAACAGGTATCCCTCAGGAGAAGAGCGTTGCATTGCTTGCAAGCTGTGTGAAGCAATCTGTCCTGCCCAGGTATAAACAAATAGTCATACCTATGTGAACAAATATGAATGAGGTAAAAACAACTTTGGCTATAGATTAGGGCTGCCACGATTAGTCGACTAGTCACGATTACGTCGACTATCAAAAGCTGATTATCAGAACTGTGAGATGCTCGAGAATTTACTCTGGTGTCCTGTTATATCTTAGATAGCAAGGAGTTTATTAAACTTCACCGAAACAATCTGCAAATTTCATTAAAATTTAATAAACTATCATCTTGTCTTTATTTTTAGTTAGCACATACCTTAAACACTTAAAGCTGTAAGCTAATGATAGTTATATAAGAGCAGATGCTGCTGGTGCAATAAGCTGTACGTTTTACGTCCAATGGATGATGATCTGATTAGTCGACTAATCACAAAAATAATCGGTGACTAGTCGACTATCAGAATAATCGTTTGTGGCAGCCCTACTATAGATACGTTTGCAGCATAACTGTCCTCACAGGACCTCAACTGTATAACTGAACATGTATATGATACAGTGCAAAAGTCTAGAGCCATCTATCATTTCTTTGTATTTTGCTGGGAAATTTGGAAATGTGTGCAGAGATTTATTCAAACATGTTCGAGCATAAATGGAAATACAATAGATAAGTCAAAAACATAATTTGCACAATTCTAATGAGCTTGAAAATCAATATTTGGTAGGAGCAGCTTTGAATTCTCTTTGTGTAATTTCTTTAAGCAGTCTTCAGGAATGGTTCACCAGGCTTCTTGAAGGGCATTTAAAGCTCTTCTTTGGATGCCACCCTCCACTGCGAGCAATTCTGAGGCTTTGGCGAACAGTAGATGGTGAACCATGGGAGTCAGATGCATCTATCAGGTCATGTGTCAGGTCTATGCTGGATTTTTTTTTTATGACTTTCAGATACCTGCCCCTTTTTTTTTTTTTTTGTCCCCTAATTGTCCAATTTCCTCAAAGCTTAGCCCACTTAGCTGAGATATGCCAGGTTCTTGGTTAGCAGTTCTTAGAACTAATCTTGTTGCTGTAAAAATCGTATTTCATGCTTCTCAAACTGTTGTCTTTGAAATATAGGACTAAATAATGGATTTATGTGACAGGCTGAAAGGATGCAATCTAAAATTGTTTTGTTGCTAAGTTGTCTGTTGTGTGTAGACACAACACTGGTTCCCAGGAGTTAGGTGCCTTTTTATTGCTTGAATGATTCAAAAGTCAGTGTTAAAAGTGTCTTAAAAAACTTTTGTCCTCTGAAAGTCATTTTCAGTCAAGGACTGGACTGAAAAAGCGCACCTGAATATTAGCCGCACAAGCTAAAGTTAGGGGAAAATCCTGTTTTGTACATACATTAGCCGCACCTGACTAAAAGCCGCCGGTGTTTTAATGTTTACTTACCATATGTACGAGAATACGCACAGAGGGGATTGTCAGGAAAGAGATGGCTGTTTGGGACCACATCCCTTTTATTAATATTTTGAAAAACAAGTTACCGGTACATATTTGCATAACTTTTTACATATATGCACAAGTAGCGGTAATTACAAGTACGAAACATGTACTGTGCTCTATAAACGAGTAACAAATGTAGTACATAACAATAACCTACAGCACACCAGAAAAAGAGATTTGGCCTACCTTTTAGGCTCAGGTGCAGCGACACGGCTTTAACAAGAAGAAAAGTCAGTCATTCACCACCATCTTTCTCTTCTTCCTGCGCACTAAAACCCATAAAGTCCTCAGGCTCAGGATGGCTTCGTCATCCACTCTCCGCTACTCCCCTTCGTTGTCACTTTCAAAACCAAAGAAATCCTCGTCAGTGTCGGAGTCGAAAACCCTCTGAAGGGCAGTGGTGGTGTCCCCCTCTCCATCACGCAGCAGTCCAGCCCTTCGAAATCCTTTGGTGATCGTGGATGCTTTTACACTTCTCCACGCTGTCAGAATCCACTGGCAGACTTGGGCAAAACTTGCTCTTCGCATGCGACCAGTTTTGGTGAATGATTTATTGCCGCTCGTCATCCATGCCTCCCACTGAACGCGTAGTGCTACTTTGAACGCACGATTCACACTGATGTCGAGTGGCTGCAGGTGCTTCGTTGTGCCTCCAGGAATCAAAGCTGGAATCGAGTTTGTGCTCTTAATGGCTGCTTTCACAGAATCTGTGATATGGGCCCTCATGCTGTCCAAAACAAGCAACGCTTTTTTTTGGCGAAAGAATCCTCCAGGTTGCTTCCCATAGCACTCTTGCAGCCATTCCTTCATTACGCTTTCCACCATCCACCCATTCTTGTTGACCTTAACAGAGATGCCGCTCGGGATCTCTTCTCTTGGCATAGTCATCCGCTTAAAGATCACCATTGGCGGAAGTTGAAACCCTGATGCTGTGCAGCCCAGC